TGTAGAGCGAATTACTTGGCCTCAAACTGGCTGCCATGTGTGCACGCATAACTTGCTATGCATTGTAGCGGACTAGGTGACGTGGATTTTGGCAAAAAAAAATCTGGTGCATGGAAATTCGATAAAAATTTGTGAACAATATGGCAAAATGATCGTTGTCACGTTAAAACATTCTAAACACGAGTGTGATGTTGGCATGCTCTTCACTAAAATGAGAGGATCGTGATCTTTTACCCAAGCTTTTTCTTCATATCATATATCAACAACCAAGCTATTGTTTTTCACTTGCAAATATATGATTGTGGACAAATTTGAGTTGGAAATTCAAATGTGAGTGATAGAGTCCCACATCGGGAATTAATGAGTTAAACAATGAATATATAAATGAAAAGATCAATAAACTTAATATCAAGATTAAAAAGATCCATAAATCTATATAAGTGAAAAGATCCATAAACTTTCATTGCCTTAAGATTTTGGAATGATATGTGGTGTAGAGCTCTTGTTTAGTCCATTGATGATTATATCAGGCAAGCTTTTTGATGAACTATAAACTTTTTTCCTTACAAACTTACAAACTACACTAAGTCTGACCAGTCATTGAAGTTTGAATAGTTATGCTTAGGACATGTTTGGTACACAATATAAGATAAGGCCTGATTAAATTTTAATACTATCCAGCATTTGGTATGATATTGTATAAGATAATATATTGTATACTATAATATCATCCAATATTTGGTAAGGCACTGTATAATACTAGATAGGATAAAAATAAATATTTTTGACAAAAATACATTTTCATAATGAATTTTTATAATTCTTCCAAATATATCAGATGATATTAATTTTTATAGAAATATGTTGATTAGTGTGTGCAAAAAATATATTAATTTTTATAAAATTAAAAATCTCCAATATTTTAAAAATTTATGTATTGAATTTTTATTTTATTTTAATATATTAATATTAAAATAATATATTAATTCTCAAGAATTATATTGGTTAATACATCAACTCCTTATCATACCTAATTCTACCCTCATAGGCCTGATTAAGTTATACATTATTTTAATGTATAAAGAGATCGTGCTGTATAAGCTTATATTATACGATGATCACACCAAACAACTAAAAATGTCATAACGTATAATATAAGCTTATCTATCAGGCCATCAGACCAAATAGACCCTTAGTGTAGTTTGTAAATTTGTAAAAGAAAAAATTTATCAATATAACCCCTCTCAAATTATAATGTCTAGACTTGGTTAGAATCTGGTATTTATCATTTAGCTATTGGCTATTAAGAGGATTTGTGAGTCATATGTTGCTGCACACGTAGCTTTTCATTCTCGAAATTGTGTGTACAACGATATACGGGTTTCTTTACGTCTTTATCTTTCAACTTTCTGAGATGTTATTAGACTAGATCTCCCATGTCGCTCAATATGGTTCCACATCAACCCTTAATTCTAAATAATAGTGTTGAAGCCTAAAACAAAACAGTCACAATTGCGTGGCTCATATTACTTGAAACAACTTCACGCGTTATTACCATTTTTAGAAGTAGTATCAAAATGAGTCTCATAAATTCTGTCTTCATTAGAGCCATTTGGTTAGACCCCTTTCCCGATCAGATAGGGTATTAATGACGTTAACAACCAGCACAGTGGAAAGTGAGTAATCTACCATACCTAATACAATTTCTGAACAAATATTCTAGCAAAGACAGAGAAAAAATTGCAATCTTAGCCATTAGTATGCTTCGAAATTGGATGCACTATTAAAAATATAACATGAAATTTACAATCATACTTTTTGTAATAATTATCTTACTTCAATTTTTTATTTTTTTAAAAATTTTAGAAAAAAATGCGAAGTCAAACATCATATTAAAATATATAATTTAAATTGAGTTAAATTTTGATGTACAGTTTTAACACTTTATTTAGTAGGTTTAAATACGTTGAACTGCATGAGATATCAATTTTATGAAATAATATCTCAATCTCACACGGACTAGAAATAATTTTTTATTTTATTTTTATATTAACATTAAATTATAATTAAATTCACACCAATTGTTACTATCTTCAAAAAAATTCAATCCATTTCATTAATAATTATGTAATCCAGATATAAATTCCATTTTTGTTTCCTTCTGTTCTAGATCTATATATGCTGTAAAATATAGACATGATAGGTTATTTTTACAGCCAGCCATGGATTGAGAAACTCTTAAATCCTTTTGGTCGAAGAACTTTCCTTCCACCTAAAAATAATAAACATCAAATTTATGTAGATTAAGATTTGTTGTGAGTATGTAAATTATTCGATGGTAATGTAAAAGAAAATTCCTTTCACCATAAATAAAAGTCAGAATTTTTGCCATAGGATTCGCAGGCGGGTCTAAAACTATAAATGCATTCTTTAACTCCTCAACCTTTCAGAATTCATAAATACCCTATTGGCTATATCATAATTTGAGTTTGGGTCGAATACAGCAACCAATGAAGGTGTTATATGATAACATGGCAATAATAGAAATAGTTAAGAACCCCGTCCATTATAATAAGAGAACCGTATATTAAAATTAATAGACAATTCATGATAAAGGAAAAGATTGATTAAAATCTTGTTAATTGAATACTGGATTTCAAGTATAGATGTGCTAATTAAGGCCTTGTCAAGAAATTAAATTTAAAGAGTGGGTTAGAAATTTAAAATGATTAACAATCATTACCCAACTCGAGGAGAGTGTTCAAGTGTGAATTTTTTTAATTTTTTTTTTCTTGGTTTCTAAGGATGTTTCCACCCATTTGAAGGGGATTGATTAATCCCCTATGGAATGTGAATGTTTTTGCCACTAGCTCCAAATTACTTCACCTAATATTCTAATAAGAGACATTTCAAACCCAAAAATTCATTTCTTGGGTATAACTCGCTTACCAATTGTCCCTTAGGATTCACGAGTAAGTCTTTATGTGATCAATTTTATTTTTATTTTGCATTTATTTTTTTGTTTTGGTTGATTTCATTCTGCATTTATTTTATAATGATTAATGTTTCTCATATTGTAGAAGATAATTTTATTTAATACACATTTAAAATTGCATGGGCCCATATGTAGAGAAGAGAGAGGAAAAAAATGGCCCGGTACACTTTTATATGTGTACAAGAAATAGATTTTATCTCCTATAATATAAGAACAAAAAAGTATTTCTGCAGTTAATGCAGATAAATTATCTGCATTTATTTTCAAAACGACGTCGTTTTGGGATTGAAAGATTAGAAAATTTTAATTATAAAGACTATAATAACCCTGAAATAAATTAAAATTACAAAAACACCATGATTTCCGCCTCAAAACGACATTGTACTGGGCTTACTGCAGATAATTTATCTACACTAACTGCAGAAAAAGTGAACCCATATAAAAAATATTATTCTCTTATTTATAATATTTGTTTATGATTAGATCCATAAGGAGTCACAACTATAATATCTCATATGTGTTCACAGTGCCGAATCAAATATATAATAATAAAAAGGAAAAACTTTATTTTCACTCACTGTAGTTTTGTGATTTATCATTTGACCCCATGAGATTTTAAACTTATCAGCTAAACTCACTGTGCTGGAATATTTTGTCATTTAACTCCCTATGGTTTCAAATTTTCACTTAGACCCCATATGATTTAAAAAATAAATATTTTTAAAAATAATTTTTCTCTCTTTTTTATTTTATATCCTCATGTAATGTATTTATGGTTTAAAATATTTCAAGTTATTTATTCAGAAAATAATTTATAAATTATCTTAATTTTTAAATATATTTGAAATTAAAAAAAATATTATTTAAGATAATTTAATATGTATTAACTTTAGATAATTTTATAACGATATAGGGTAAAACATAGATAAAATAAAATAATATTTGATTTGAATTGAATTTATTTTCTTGATAAAAATAAGTGATTTTTTTAAAAATTCATTTTTATTTTTTAAACCCTAAATAAGAGAACATCTATTTTAAATATTTATTTTTTAAAATTTTTATTTTTGTAACCACAATTGGTCTAAGTGAAATTTTTTCTAATTACAAGGTGTCTAAGTGAAAGTTTGAAACCACGAGAGGTTAAATGATAAATTATTTAAGTACAATGGATCTAAGTGATAAGTTTAAAATCATAGGGGGTCAAATGATAAATCACAAAACCACAATGGATAAAAATGAAATTTTCCCTAATAAAAATAGAGTATAATTATATTTAGAAATTTTTTATTTATAATTTTTTTTTTTTTTTGATAACATTATTTATAAAATTTTACAAATTACATTATATATTATGGATAATATATATTATTTGAGCATGTACTATCCATAGCACATAACGTACTTTATAAGAATTTATAAATAAAAAATTTATAGATATAATCTACTCCGTAAAAATAAAGAAATATAACATTTAAAAGTTAAGTGATTTATGAAACTAATTAAACTAAACTAGAGATGCTCAACCTTTAAGAAGTAAAATAAAAAAATAAACTAGAGATTAAATAATTGAAATAAAAATACAGAATCAAATGAAACGAAACAAATAAAACAGGAATTAATGCACATTAAGATTGAAAATGTTTTAAAACGACACACCTTAACATGAATACACACTGTAAGCTGTCTGTCACTTTCCAAGCTCGTTCCTTTTCCTGGAAAATATAGCCTCCATGTTCTCTCGTTTTCCTGCTCTTTCCTTCACCATCATTTTCATGCACGCAGAGTTACGTAACCTCCTCCCCATAAATCCCGTGTTTGACTCTCTTCTCTCTCGCCTTCTTGTCTCCATTCTGTGACCACAACCTTCTCTACATTCTTTATAAGCAAAAAAATAAAAATAAATCTTCACTCAGCTACAACCCCATTTTCCAGAATCCTTTTAAGGTTTCATAACAAACACAAATTTCTTCTTTTAATTTTCATTCAACTATTCAAGTACGTTATGTCGTTAGTCTTCTCACTCCATTCTCTTACACACTCTGCCACTAGTTTTCTGGTTCTTTTCCTGAGAGTGAATCCGATTTTCTTGCATGGCTTATCCGGTTTCCTCCATCTACTGTTGTTATTGGCGCTTTTAGTGTCATGGGTGTGGAAGAAGCTCAAATTTGAAGTCAGAGACAGTTCCAAAGAGAAAATCAAGAACACCCTGTTTGCAAAGACTCTGTTTTGTTCTCTGGGTGTTTCAGCATTCAATCTTCTACTCTTTTTGTTTGATTTCTTCTGTTGGTATAGAAATATTTGGTCAGAAGAAAAGCTTGTGACCCTTTTGGATTTGGCGCTCAAAGCGGTTGCTTGGGGTGTTGTTTGTGTTTGCTTGCACTTGGAACTCTTCTGTTCAAAGGAAAGAAGGTTTCCATTCTTCTTCAGAGCTTGGTGCGCCTTCTACCTCTTTGCTTCCAGTTATTGCTTTATAGTGGACTTTGTTCTCTATAAAAAGCACGCAACTCTGCCAATTCAGTACTTAGTTTCTGATGTTTTCTCTGCTTGTGTGGGTTTATTCTTCTGTTACTTGAGTTTTTTTGTGAAAAATGAGGGTGGTGGAGTAGGAGATAGAACTCTTCAAGAACCTCTTTTGAATGGTAATTCAAAAGTTAGTAATATGTCAGAGGAAAAAAAGACCAAGGGTTTTGACACTGTTACCCCTTACTCTAATGCTGGAATTTTCAGCATTCTTACTTTCTCTTGGATTGGTCCTCTGATTGCTGTTGGCAAGAAGAAGACTTTAGACCTCGATGATGTTCCCCAACTTGATAGAAGGGATAGTTTAGATGGTGCTTTTCCAACATTCAGGGATAAACTTGAGGCATATTGTGGAGCAATTAACACAGTGACCACACTTAAGCTAGTGAAATCATTAGTATTCTCAGCATGGAAAGAGATTCTTTTGACAGCTATCCTTGCATTGGTAAACATATTTGCTTCTTATGTTGGTCCGTATCTTATTTATGGTTTTGTTCAATACCTTAATGGGGAAAGGAAATTTGAAAATGAGGGCCTTGTTTTGGTGTCTTCATTTTTTGTGGCAAAGCTTGTGGAGTGCCTGACGCGAAGGCACTGGTACTTTAGGTTGCAGCAAGTTGGAATTCGAATGCAAGCATTGCTTGTAACAATCATCTATAATAAGGCCTTGACCCTTTCATGTCAATCCAAGCAGGGCCACACTACTGGGGAGATAATCAATTTTATGACTGTTGATGCTGAAAGAGTTTGTGACTTCAGTTGGCACATGCATGATCTTTGGATGGTAGTTCTGCAGGTTTTAGTAGCCTTGTTGATTTTGTATAAAAATCTTGGGCTGGCTTCAACTTCTGCGTTTGTTGCAACTGTAATTATAATGTTGGCGAATGTTCCCTTGGGGTCAATCCAAGAGAAGTTTCAAAACAAGTTGATGGAGTCCAAAGATACGAGAATGAAGGCGACATCTGAGATTTTAAGGAACATGAGGATTCTTAAACTGCAAGGATGGGAAATGAAGTTTCTGTCTAAGATAACTGAACACAGGAAGACTGAGCAAGGGTGGTTAAGAAAATATGTACACACATTAGCCATAATCATATTTGTATTTTGGAGTGCCCCAGCATTTGTGTCTGTGGTTGCTTTTGGTACATGTATGCTTATAGGGATCCCTCTTGAATCAGGGAAGATCTTATCTGCACTTGCTACGTTCCAGATTCTTCAAGAACCCATTTATAATCTTCCAGAAACAATTTCGATGATGGCACAAACAAAGGTTTCTCTTGATAGGATTGCATCTTTCCTTCATCTTGATGACATGCAGTCCGATGTTGTTGAGAAGCTTCCACAGGGTAGTTCTGATATAGCAATTGAAGTAGTTGATGGAAATTTTTCTTGGGATTTAGATTCTCCTAGTATAACTTTGAAAAACATAAATGTCAGAGTTTTTAATGGCATGAGGGTTGCTGTTTGTGGTACCGTTGGATCAGGCAAGTCTACTTTACTTTCTTGTATATTGGGAGAAGTACCAAAGATATCTGGGATCCTGAAGGTGTGTGGAACAAAGGCCTATGTAGCTCAGTCACCATGGATACAAAGCAGCAAGATAGAGGATAATATATTGTTTGGCAAGGATATGGAAAGGGAAAGGTATGAGAAGGTCCTTGAAGCATGTTCCCTAAAGAAGGATCTAGCTATTTTGACATTTGGAGACCAGACAATTATAGGAGAGAGGGGAATAACTTTGAGTGGTGGACAGAAACAAAGAATACAAATTGCTCGTGCTCTATACCAAGATGCTGATATATATCTATTTGATGATCCGTTTAGCGCTGTGGATGCTCATACTGGATCTCATCTCTTTAAGGTAGTTCATTTTCATTTATCTTTTTAATTATTTGCAATATAGACTGTGCTATTAGCCTATTATATTTCTTTATTTGTATTATGAACTACACATCATTCTCATAAACCCTTGTGAAAAAGTGGTTCTTCTGATAACACGACCCTTGTATTAGTATTTCAGTATATGAGCCTTTTCATTTTATCTATATGGCAGGAATGCTTGTTGGGCCTTTTAAGTTCAAAGACTGTAGTTTATGTAACTCATCAAGTAGAGTTCTTATCCGCTGCTGACCTTATCTTGGTGAGAAGTTCTCATAGTCATTGCCATAAATGCTAATAGAGTTTGCTTGTTTTATCTCCTAATTGTCTTATTGTCAGAATGCAATACAGGTGAATAATGATGCTTTTTCATTCATATATCATCTTCCTCTTTAATGAGGTATATATACAAGTGTACAAAACAACTCTCTGAATAATAATAGGAAAAATATCCTAACAACTCTATCCTATTCAATCTGATCACAGTGGTTTTAAAATATAAACAACTTTGTAACAGTAATTTTAAAACAACTTTGTAACAGTAATTTAAATTTACAAACTTCCTTTCAACACTCCCCCTCAAGTTGGTGCATGTATGTCAATCATGCCCAACTTGTTAGTCATTTCTTCAAAGGCTCTTCCTGATACGGCTTTAGTTAGTACATCTGCAATCTGTTCTTCAGACCGTAAATAGGGAGTTTGAATAATCTTTCCATCCAACTTTTCTTTAATGAAATGCCTATCTATTTCAACATGTTTTGTTCTATCATGTTGTACAGGGTTGTGGGCAATGTCTATTGCAGCTTTATTGTCACAGTATAAGTTCATAGGTTCTTCATACATAATTCCCAGATCCATAAGAATGCTTTTAATCCATAGGAGTTCACAAACACCTTGAGCCATCCCTCTGTATTCGGCCTCTGCACTAGATCTTGCAACCACTTTTTGTTTCTTGCTTTTCCAAGTGACTAGGTTGCCTTCTACAAAAGTAAAGTATCCTGAAGTTGATTGCCTAGTAGTTTTATCTCCAGCCCAGTCTGAATCAGTGTACCCTTCTATGCTGGTTTTATTACCTTTTTTGGAGTATAAAAGACCTTTTCCTGGTGAACCCTTGAGGTATCTGAGAATGCGATATACTGCATTCATGTGTTCTTCACTAGGAGAGTGCATGAACCTACTTACCACACTAACTGAATAGGCAATATCAGGTCTAGTGTGTGACAGATAAATTAACTTCCCTACTAACCTTTGATATCTGTCCTTGTCTGCTTTAATCTGATTTGGGTATATAGCCAGTGAGTGGTTCATCTCAATTGGTGTATCAGTTGGCTTACAAGCCATCATTCCTGTTTCGGCTAGGAGGTCCAAGATGTACTTTCTTTGAGATAAAAATATGCCTTGTTTGGATCTTGCAATTTCTATCCCAAGGAAGTATTTTAATTGGCCTAGATCCTTCATTTCGAATTCAGAGGCTAATCTTTTTTCAAGTAACTTCATTTCTTCCACATCATCCCCTGTTAGTACCATATCATCCACATAGACAATGAGTATAGCTACCTTCCTATTGTTATGTTTTATGAACAATGTATGATCTGAGTTACTTTGTTTATATCCAAACTTCTTCATTGCCACAGTGAACCTTCCAAACCATGCCCTAGGTGATTGTTTGAGACCATACAAAGCCTTCTTCAATTTGCAGACTACATTATCTTTTGAAGGTGCTAGCTTTACTCCTGGTGGAACCTCCATGTATACCTCTTCTTCTAAATCACCATTCAAGAAGGCATTTTTTACGTCAAATTGTTTTAGGGGCCAGTCTCTGTTGGCTGCTATGGATATGAGGATCCGAATTGTGTTAAGTTTAGCCACGGGAGCAAATGTGTCTTGATAGTCCACCCCATACTTTTGTGTATATCCTTTTGCCACAAGTCTCGCTTTGTATCTATCAATACTTCCATCTGCCTTGAGCTTTACGGTGTACACCCACTTGCATCCAATTTTTCTTTTGCCATTAGGTAAGGAAGTTAACATCCATGTTTCATTCTTTTGGAGTGCTTCCATTTCGATGTTCATTGCTTGTTTCCATTTTGGGTCCTCCAACGCTTCCTGCACACTATCAGGAATAGATACAGTGGATAATTGATTGAGTGTTAGAGCATATGATCCGGATAGCTTGTGAGAGGAAACATAATTGCTTATGGGATACTTGACTTTTGCTTTTGGATCTGCTTCATAAAAAGGTTTTGGTATACCTTTGGTTGGTCTATCTGACCTTCTGACTTGTGGGGATGGGATGCTAGGAGTAGTAATTGAAAGTTCTATATTACGGATAGGACTTACCTCAGTAGTGGTTTCTGCTTGTGCTTCAGTGTTGTCCTCTGCAGGTGACTCAGCTATGTGTGGTAAACGTGGAATCTCATGCGGTGAAGGAGGGTCTGTACTATGATGGATTGTTTCAGGTGGTTCAGAGATTGGAACTTGAGGAGGAATTTGATTTGTAGGAAGAGGGGGTGCCGGAATAGGAGTCACATGGGATGATAACCAGAATTCTCCTTCTCTAATATGCTGAATCTCCCCCTGAGAAGGAGAAGAAGGGGCTCCCCCTGAATAGAAGGGTTCGGTTTCTCTAAAGGAAACTTCAAGGGTGACAAACATTTTATGGGACTTGGGATCAAAACATCTGTATCCTTTTTGGAGATCAGAATAGCCTACAAAAATGCATTTTCGAGCACAAGGATCAAGTTTATTTCGAAGAGGTTTGGGAATGTGAACATAAGTAATGCAGCCAAATATTCGGGGTTCAAGATTCATTTTATGGGGAATAGAGAAAAAAGTCTCCAATTTTTGTTGGGGGGTGAGAAAATTGATGGCACTAGAAGGAGTACGATTCACCAAATATGCAGCGGAGAGAACAGCCTCACCCCAATAATGAGAAGGTACATTCATATCAAAAAGGGAAGCGCGTACTATTTCTAAGAGTTGTCTATTTTTCCGTTCTGCCAACCCATTTTGTTGAGGTGTATACGTACAGGAGGTTTGATGTTTAATACCACAGGAGGTTAAGAACTCAGAGAAGGAACCATTCTTGTATTCTAGGCCATTATCCGATTGAAGAACTTGAATGGTACTGTTGAATTGGGTATGAACCATGCTATGAAATTTTTTAAAGGCAGAGAAGACTTCATTTTTATGTTTGAGTAAGGAAATCCACACCATACGGGTACACTCATCAATGAAAGATACATAATAATAAGCTTGAGAGAAAGATGGGACCTTAGCAGGTCCCCAAACATCAGAATGGACAACTTGAAAAGGAATGCAACTTTTATTCATACTTGGATAAAATGGAATTCGATGGCTTTTAGCCATTTCACAAACAGAGCATTGAAATTTAGAAGAATTAAAATTGGAAAATAAATTTGGAAGCAATCTTTTAAGATAACTGAAGGAGAGATGTCCGAGTCTTCTATGCCAAAGCCAAGCAGTAGAGTGGGAAGAACCTGGAGATGTAGTCACAGAGGCTCTTCCATGTGGATCTGGTTCATCAACAGAGAGGTCCAAGAAGTAGAGATTTCCTCGTCTAACACCATAGCCAATCACCTGGTTCTGGACGTCCTGAAAGACACAAAACGTGGGATAAAAAATAACATTACAGTTAATGTGAGAGGTAAGACGACTGACTGAGAGTAAATTAAAGTCTAGAGAGGGAACAAGAAGCACAGAGTGAAGAGTAATGTGTGGGGTAAGAACAACGGTACCCTGACCAGTAACAGAAGCAGAACCACCATTAGCAGTGGTGATAGTGGTTGTTGGGCAAGGAAAGCAATTTTGTAAGGCGGAGGCATCACGAATCATATGATCTGACGCCCCAGTGTCAATTATCCATGAAGAATTCCGAGAGTGAGCAGAAAGAGTAAGAGAGTTACCTAAAATTCCTTCATACACAGCATTAGCACGAGGGTGTGGAGAGGATTCACCTTCGGTGGAAGACTGGAGGGCTTTGGATGGTACCTTTCTGCGAGGACGCTTGTTAAAATCCCACCACTCAGGATATCCAACAATTTCATAGCAACGAGTCTTTGAATGTCCAGATTCACCACAGTGTGAACAAACAAGGGTTTTCCCAGAAGAACCCTCTTTGCGAAATTTAGGAGGAACAGGGGAAGGTCGAGGAACCTGTGACAGTAGGGCCGAAGAATCTGATGTGAGTGAAGGACGACCCATGGTAATACGTTGCTGATATTCTCGCCGAACATATGCATACGAGTTTTCCAAATCCAATTTGGGATCTTTTCGAAGGATTTCACCACGGACTTGGTCGAAATCAGAGTCCAGGCCACTAAGGAAGATGTGGACACGCAGACGAGACAGGGATGAGTGTGTTTGAAGTATTTCGTTCACGGTGGTGGCAGGGGAGGTCATTCGGTGATCAATTTCTTGAAATATGGAGAGGAGTTCATTGTAGTATGTAGACAGAGGACGACCGTTTTGCTTGGTTGAGAAGGAGCGTTGGTTGAGTTCGAAAAGGCAAGTTTCATCTGAACCATCATAAAAGGTCCGGCGAGCCGCATCCCAGATTTCATGAGCGGAGTCGAGGCGGATGAAGCGTTGCATCAGTTGAGGAGTCATCGAGTCGATCAACCAACTTTTCACCCGCTTGTTGTCGGTGATCCAGGATTCATACGTCGGATCAGTGGTTGCTGGTTTCATTGTGGTTCCAGTGAGAAATCCCGACTTGTTCCGAGCTCCGATCCTCATGTCCATTAGTTGGGACCAAAGAGGATAGTTGTTATCATCAAGGACAACAGTAATGGGGAACGAGGAGGTGTCTTGTTGAATAAAATATCCTAACAACTCTATCCTATTCAATCTGATCACAGTGGTTTTAAAATATAAACAACTTTGTAACAGTAATTTTAAAACAACTTTGTAACAGTAATTTAAATTTACAAACTTCCTTTCAACACTTATCAAATTGTCTCATCTTCTTAGGTCATGAAAGATGGGAACATTACTCAATGTGGGAAGTATAATGATCTGCTTAATTCAGGAACTGATTTTATGGATCTTGTTGGTGCTCATAGAGAAGCTTTGTCTGCCCTTGATTCATTAGATGGAGGGCCAGTATCTGATAAACTAAGTACATCACAACAGAATGTACATGCCTTTATTTCTCATGGTGTTAAAGAACAAGAAGTAAAGGAAGATGTGCAAAATGGTGGAGCAGATAACAAATGTGAGCCAAAAGGCCAGCTTGTCCAAGAAGAAGAAAGAGAGAAAGGCAAAGTTGGGTTTTCAGTCTATTGGAAATATATCACTACAGCATATGGAGGAGCTCTTGTACCATTCATATTGCTGGCTGAAATTCTGTTTCAGATTCTTCAAATTGGAAGCAACTATTGGATGGCTTGGGCAACTCCCATCTCAACAGATGTTGAGCCACCTGTAGGAGGAAGTATGCTTATAGTTGTCTATATAGCTTTGTCCATAGGAAGTTCTCTGTGTGTACTTGTCAGAGCAACACTTGTTGTCACTGCTGGTTATAAGACAGCTACTCTACTTTTCAATAAAATGCATTTATGCATTTTCCGTGCTCCAATGTCATTTTTTGATGCAACTCCAAGTGGGAGAATCCTTAATAGGGTATGTGGAGCTGTGTATATCTCATTCTCTTTCTCTTTTGGTTCTGATTTTGCAAAGGCTATATGAATCTTAAATATCGTTGTCCCATTGATTAGTTGACTGCCACATTCGTCTTGTTAGTTGTTTTCAATGTCTATAGTAAGACATTGTTTTTACATTTTCATTTTTCTGTTCTTTTGCAGGCTTCAACTGACCAAAGTGCAGTGGATATAGACATTCCTTTTCAAGCTGGATCATTTTCTTCCTCCATGATCCATCTCCTTGGAATTATAGTGGTCATGTCTCAAGTTGCATGGCAGGTTTTCATTGTCTTTATTCCTGTGACAGCAATCTGCATCTGGTATCAGGTATTTTATTAACACCATGTTGTCTTTAGTGATAAGATAGCACATACTTGTTCATTTTACTATATCATTTGCAAAAATTATTTACAATGTTATTTTATGTTAATAGATGACATGTTACAAACTTATAATTATGCAGCAATATTATATACCATCAGCCCGGGAATTATCGCGTTTAGTTGGGGTATGCAAGGCTCCCGTCATTCAACACTTTGCTGAAGCAATTTCTGGCACATCAACCATCAGGAGCTTTGATCAGGTTTCCAGATTTCAGCAAACAAATATGAAACTGATGGATGGATATTCTCGCCTCAAGTTTAATATTGCTGGAGCTATGGAATGGTTGTGCTTCCGCTTAGATATGTTGTCTTCTGTCACATTTGCCTTTTGCTTGATATTCTTGATATCTATTCCACATGGAGTCATAGATTCAGGTACGTAACTAGTACACTCAATTCTGGCATCTTTACTAGTAAAAAATTTGTATGTTCATGTAATGGTGCTATAGAACATAATCCCCCCCCCCCCCCCTCCCACCCCTCTTCTTGTTTTTGAAGGTGTTGCTGGTTTAGCTGTAACATATGGCCTTAACCTGAACATCGTTCAAGGATGGATGATATGGGAACTTTGCAACATGGAGACCAAAATTATATCAGTAGAAAGAATACTTCAGTATACTTCAATTCCTAGCGAACCTCCTCTTATTGTAGAGGAAAACCAGCCACATACTTCATGGCCATCATGTGGAAAGGTTGATATTCACAATTTGCAGGTAGTTGGAGTTATTATGTTTGCATTTTTTTAGCTTATGTTTTGTTGTTGATTTCCAAAACTTGAGCTAAGGTCTTGTCCATCATGATTGGAAGTTAGTTTCTAAAGAGAAAATTTTTGTGCCTTGTATGCAAGATATGTCATGGACTCATGGCATAGCTTGTACTTAGTTTTTGTGCTACGTTTATAATGATACAATACATATGATGAAGGTGCGTTACGCTCCACATTTGCCACTTGTTTTGCGTGGCCTTACATGCACGTTTCTTGGAGGACTGAAAACTGGAATTGTTGGGAGAACAGGAAGTGGTAAATCAACTCTCATACAAACACTTTTCCGAATCATTGAGCCTACTGTTGGGAGAATTTTGATTGATGGCATCGACATCTGTTCCATTGGACTTCATGATTTGAGGTCTAGACTGAGCATTATCCCTCAGGATCCAACCATGTTCGAAGGTACTGTGAGAAGTAATCTAGACCCCCTTGAAGAGTACACGGATGAACAAATTTGGGAGGTAGGTTTGTTTTATTTGTCGCACACACAGATTAGGTTATGATCAGGGCAAACCTTGAAACAGTGGTAAGATTACTTATTGTGACCATAAGGTCATGGGTTAAAGTCTGGGAATCAGCTTCTTTGCAAAAATGCAAATATAAGGCTGCGTACAATTGACTTTTATCCCTATCAAGTCGAGAAGCCTTCTATATCGGGATTTGCCTCCTTTTTTTTTTTTTTTTTTACTCGCAGACTAGGTTCTATCCAAAATATTGAACTTGTGGTTGTTTCTCAAATTAGTATTGCCTTAACTCCTTCACATTCTTTTATATAGGCCTTGGATAAGTGTCAACTTGGAGATGAAGTTAGAAGGAAAGAAGAAAAGCTAGATTCTGCAGGTTTGTCTTTCAAACTTCTTGAACATAAATATACATTACATATATTCTTGGAATGAATCTATGGGTTATGTCAAAATGGATGATGCAGTTAGTGAGAATGGTGAGAATTGGAGTATGGGTCAGAGGCAGTTGGTTTGTCTTGGTAGGGTGCTGCTTAAGAAGAGTAAGATCTTGATGCTAGATGAAGCAACTGCATCAGTTGATACAGCTACAGATAATTTGATTCAGCAAACTCTTAGGAAACATTTCTCTGATTGCACAGTCATTACCATTGCACATAGAATAACTTCTGTTATTGATAGTGATATGGTTCTACTACTTAATCAAGGTGAGAAAAGCTGTTATATTACATTCTTCTTTGAACTTGCAATTTAATTTATGTTTCATTTTATATGATTTCATTGGATATTGATGCAGGACTTATTGAGGAGTATGATTCCCCAGCTAGATTGCTAGAGGACAAGTTTTCATCTTTTGCTCAACTTGTTGCAGAGTATACCTCGAGGTCCAATTCCAATTTTGACCTACTAAAATAAGAGTTTTATTTCTTGTTTGATGACAAGAAGTTGGGAACATTACAATGATAACCAATGGGGGTTCTTCGTAATTTTATATGATATCTACTATTGCTACTCTCTAAATAAGGATGAGTACTTTTTTTAAGTAGAAGAAAAATTTAGGTGAGAATAGACGCTGATATCTTATTAGAGTCAGGATAAATATCCTAATTTTTTTGAAAATTTCTGAAAGAGATTATAAATCGCACACCAATATTGTTCTCTCGTCGCCCAGCTAAATGGATGTGTACTAAGTTCTTTCACTATAATTGCCACATTGCATTTTTTGTATATATTTTTTAATTTTATTTAAACTAATAATATCACCCTTCCTTAAAGTTGTTATAGGATAACAAGTTAATTACAAAATTTACCTAATGCATGATGCGATCACTTTTTTTTTCAATTTTAATTTTTTAATAGTGGTTGGTTCATTTTATTTGACAAATTAAACTCGGACCGATCAACGACTAGGTCGAGATATTAAATTAATGGGTCATAACTAGTGAATTATCAGTTCAACATGAATTAAATATACATAATAAAAGGGAAAAGTATTTCTCTAGGGAGATAAAGTTATCTCCAGTGAACTCAAAACGACATCGTTTTGAAGTTATAAGATTAAAAATTTATAATGATAAAGACTAATATAACCCTACAATATATTATAATTACAAAAATATCTTGATTTCCGTCCTAAAACGACGTCGTTTTGGGCTCATCGGAGATAACTTATCTCTATTGCTTGAGAAATCATTTACCCATAGTAAAATATTATAAATATAATATTAGAAACATTTTAGCTAATATTTAGAGTGAGTTTAGAAGTAAGTGCTATAAGTTATAATTCACATGGTCTAGGTACGAATCTCATTAATGGTATTTTTCAAAAAATTGTTCAAAATTTCAGAAAACTTGTTTTTAAAAAATCGACGCAGATTTAATACTAGTTGAATCCGATTCACTAGTTTTATATAGGGTGAAATGCAAGACTGGTTCATCCTAAATCGAACCAGTTAGGGGTTTGGTTTATGGGTCAACCGATTGAACCGATAGGGTTGGTTCGGTTTTTATAACACTGCTAAAAAGTATTGTGATTTTTTTTTTTAATGAAAAGTATGATTAATGAACTATTAATTATAAATACTGTTCGAAAACAATTCATCCTAGCTTTCACATTTTAGCTATCAATTTTTTTTTTCCAAAAAATCTCTAAGTTGTTAAATTAATGTAATGTTTTCTTACATGCTCCATTTACATTACCATTAATTGGATTGATTCTTACTATCACCGACGATGTTTCGCTACATAAGATAATATATAACTCCAACGAAGTTAACTTTCGAGAATTAATTAAATGACGAATCTGAATATTATAAAAGAAAAGAAGTTAAAAGATGAAAGGCTTGTCAAACTAATGTTATTTTGTTACGAATAATATATTCACGTGGATGTCCGTAACCCCCAAAAGTATTATTCCAAATTGTAATACCTCAGAATTATTAATTCCTTTCCGTTGTAACTTACAATGTATTGAGAGCTTATCAAGATAGACATGTATAGGCTTGGGGTATAGCAATTGTGTCAAGCATACAACTACCACTCTCCATGCAGCAGGTCTTCAACCAAGAAACAATGTAGAGAAGATGATAGCTTGGTCTTGTCCTCCGTTAGGATGGGTTAAACTTAATGTTGATGGGGCTAGAGCTGGTAATGGGAACAGATCAGGATGTGGTGGTGTTATTCGTGACCCGTCCGGAGCTTGGATTATCAGTTTCTGCAAGAATTTGGGGCCAGGTACTGTTTTGCATGTAGAATTATGGACTTGTTTGGAAGGTTTGCGTTTAGCATGGAAAAAAGGATTTAGAAAAGTGTGGCTGGAAGGATATTCCCTCTCAGCCCAACAGATTATATCTAATGGGTGTCATCAGGATCACCCTTCGTCGAGCTTGGTGCAACGTATTAGAGGAATGTTGCAAAGATGCTGGCAGGTGCAGATTTCTCATGTCCATCGTGAAGGAAACAAAGTAGCCGATTTCTTAGCTTCACATGCGTATAGCTTCCATGGGATGTGCAAGTCTTTGATGACCCTCCTCCTGGCTGTCTTCAAAGTTTATACAGCGACACTGTAGGTGTTTGCTGGGCTAGGTTCTGTACTTAGGCCTTTTTGCTGTGTTTTTCATTTCCATTATCTTTCAAAAAAGATAGACATGTATAACACACATGATGATGATTCAAAAGAAAATTATCTTTCTTTCTCCTTATTCTGATCCTCCTTTTTTTTATGTTCTTGTTATCCCTTTTATTTTACAACGCGTTATCAGCACGATTTGCTATTCAACAATTTGCTATTCATCCACTGTCCATTAGGGTCGATATCTTCTGAGAGACGTCTTCACCCTGGTCCTCGCATAAATTCGGTATTGCACATGCAATGTATACACCGATCAGAGGTTGTCTAGATGGAGGAACCAGATTATAAATCTCTGCATGTCAGAAGTGGACGACTGGCGGGGTTGGATGTTATTCTAGAGCCCATTGTACCTTATTTACGTCGTGCCGGTTTTCTTGGTGCTGCTCGGATGGGTCGTATGGAGGTATTTGTGTGCTAATTTTATTAATTTATAAACAAGTTATCAACCATAAGTAATTTTGTACATTTTGTTTATTATTTTACGGTTTGCAGATTGATAGTGCATTAGTCACCGCTCTAGTCGAGCGATGGAGACCAGAGACCCATACATTTCATATGCAGCCAGGAGAGGTTACTATGACACTCGAGGATGTTGCAATGATCACAGGCCTTCTTACGGACGGTGAACTTGTTACTGGCATGTCTGAAACCCGCGAGTTGAAAGCTTTGGTACCACAGCTGCTTGGGAGGACCCCGAGTCCAGCTAATTTTAAGGGTGGTTCTCTTAAGATGTCATGGTTGGATGCAGATTTTGCAAATGTTGAGGAATGGATGGATGATGAAGAGAATCTTCTCCGATTCACGCGAGCATACATATTACGACTTATTGGAGGATTTTTATTGGCGGATCACAGTGGTACTAAGGTGCACCTCCGATATCTACCTTTTCTTAGTGACTTGCAGGCATGTGGACGATTTAGCTGGGGATCGGCAGTGTTGGCCTGCCTTTATCGGGAGTTGTGCATAGCAACCTCTCCTGATCGGATTGAAATATCCGGTGCATTGGTCATGTTGCAGATGTGGGCTTGGGCTAGATTTTTGTCCATCGCTCCAGATACTATACCACCTCTCCTCGAGTTTGACGATTCCACACCCGTTGGCATAAGGTATGTTAATCTGACATGTAACGTTTGATACTTATGTCTATTAGGTGGTATTTATTTAAGATATATTATATTATGCAGATGGACCGGTCATAAGACAATTTTTCATGATCTATCTTGGTATCGAGAGAGGTTTGATAGGATGACCGAGAAGCAGGTACTTGCAAAGTGCTTACCACCCCTTTCTTTTAATGATATGTATTGGTTTATATTTTAGGGTCTCACATGTAATATTTTCACAATGGCATTGTCTGTGCAGATTATATGGACTCCATACGAAAACATTGATTTGCCAGATCATATTCAGGAAATAAGTGATCGTTGGAGAGCAATCACGCCAATGATATGTTTTCAGATTATGGAGTACCATCAACCTGATCGTGTTATGAGACAATTTGTGCAGATTATCTGGTGTGCATGTTAAGTGCTCCCTTAGTTTAAAAGGCTTTCCAGTTAAGTTTGTACTTGAAGCATTCTCATATACCGTTCTATAATTCAATGTTAAACCCTCCATTTCGTTATGGTACATATGTTGTTAAAAAATGGGTTGGTTTTGCTCCTTCACAATTAGTGTCATTTTGAATTCTATGATAATTAGTTTTTTAGAAATGTGATTCACAGCAGTGGACTTAGTATGATATAAAGGATGCAGTTTCCTTTGAATGGTATTTTTGAGTAAAAAAAAAGTGGTGGCATAATTTTGTATATGAGAATAGTATAAGTTAATAACCTTATATAAAAAAAGAGATGGATTTCTCATTAATAAATCATAGAAATGATAACTCATATTTTGTTACACTTATTTATTACTCTTGGTTGGTATTTTTATAATTTATTTGAATTAAATAAAGGTCTTTTGGGTCAATTCACAATTCTAGATTTTAGTTGGGTTTAATTGATTTTCGTCATAATTTTCCAGATTTACACTACTTCCGTATTTTGACCATATCTCACTCTACAGATATCCGATTGACTCCGTTCTTGTTGCTTTTTGCAGCTAACAGATAGCGCTACAATCGCTATTTCAGCTACTGAAGCCCAATTCGGACGGTAAGATGGTCAAAACTTGATATCAAGATGACATGTTTTGCTAGAATTTTATTTTGATGTTTGAACTTGTAATTCACATTAGGACCCAATGTGTTTAGGGCCCAAGGCCATGTTTTATTATTTTATTTTATTTTATTCAGCTTTTATTTTATGTTTGGACTGAAGCGGTGAAACCCTAGCCGTCTTGTGTGATGGCTATTTAAGGGAGACTCTAGGAAACCCTTCAGCAGTCAGTTTTTAGAAGTTCTCTCTGAGTTTTTATTCAATTGTGTTCTTCATCTTTTTCTTCTTCTTCATCTTTTTATTTCAATTATGTTTACCTTAGCCATGCGAGGCTAAGAACCTTTTAATCAACCTAAGGGTAATGGATTCCATGGATTAGTCTTGAGGATCTGCGTTTATTTCAAATCAGTTTTGTTTCCCCTCCCAACTCAGATTGATATCGTGCGATCGTGGATATTCAATCTGAGGTTCGCGATTGCGATTATGGAATAGGATTAATCATCAGATTTGATGATTAGGTTGATTGACCTTATGACCTTAAATCAAGCGGGCTGATACTCTGCGATTGTATGAGTAGAAGCATCGTCTTTGATCAAATGCTAAGCGATCGCTTAGAGAGGGTTGTCAATTGAAAATAAGGATTCTGATTCGATTGACAAATCAATCACGATTCTGATATCTTCTTATCCGAGGAAAGACGTCCATGGAACCCAAACCTTAGGTTGGTTATTTTTAATTACGAATTTTAAATCCAATTTAATATTCTGCCTTTTTAATTATTCAACCAAAATTCCAAAAACCCCCTTGTAATTTTCTGTCATCCTAAGCGATTTTTACCAAAACAATTTCCTTGAGAGACGACTTAGGGTTTCCACTTTACTACAAATTTTCTGAACCCTAAAGAATTAATTTTTAATTTGCGCGAGTTCGACAGCTCGTGTCAAGAAACAATCAGAGTTTTTTTATGGAAAGTATCAAAATCTTTTAGAAAAAATAAAATCAATATAACATTGTATTTTTTAAAAGGGAAGCATTTTATTAAAGTTATAAAGCTATGCAAAAAATTTAATATTATATTTTCTTTTTAAAGGGGAGTATGAAACCACATAGGGGTTCCCTTTCAGCCATGCACCTATCGTATTTACACGAAGAAATATCTTTACAAATAAATGTTAAAAATAATTACTAGCTTCTACTAAAAATTGTGCTAACAAATAATAGTATAGCTGGCATAGTTCTTAAGATTGTTAACAGTCTTGCTAATAATTCAAGCTAAAAGTTTTGAACTGTACAGGGGAAATGTTGCAAATCAAGGCAAAATAAATAATCTACTTCACTGGTTGGATGATGATTCTCGTGTAGGACATGTACGCCTTGTGTGACCAACTTGCCTACAAATTCCACACTTAACATTGCGTCTTTGCGACTCTCGCTCATCCATTTCATTCCTTATACGTGTTGATCTTGGTCTTCCTTTCGGACGCACTGATCCAGGGTTAGGACATAAAATGCGACCTTCAGACGGTGGTATACAATCTTCATCCCCAATCGGGTACCATTCAGCAGAATATGCATTGACAATGTTCTGAAGTGAGTCCACCGGGTCCACATATTTATAAAAATCGATCTTTCGAAACCTACACGCTGCAATAACATGAGAGCATGGATAGTGGAACACAGTAAACCTTCCACATTGACAATCAGGTGTGGTCAAATCAACGGAAACAACGACCACTTGTCTGTGTAAAATAATTAATAGCCTCTCCAACCTCATACTTGTGTCCATTAGGGTCATAACTGCGGACAATGTGTGAAGATGGAACCTCTTGGTTATTTTGCATATCCTCAAAAAGAACCTTACAATATCGATTGCCAGCAGCTATTTCCTTACGAGCATGACTTGCTCTTGTAACAAAGTATTCAACACATCTACTGTAGGTGAATTTCACAATAGCAGAAATCGGCATACTTCAGATACCCTTTAGAACTTTGTTCACAGCCTCTGACAAATTAGTTGTCATATGCCCATAGCGTCTACCCCCTTCGTCATATGCAAGAGCCCATTACCATCAATCCAAGCAGCAATCTCTGGTTTTCGATCACGGAATTTCGTCAGTAATCGATCAAAGTGTTTCCTGGACGCCATGCACCTTACACAAAATTAAAAACAAAGTTAAGTTCTACCACATCATACATTATGGAATAATTCTTGTAAACATACCTAAATTCAGTAAGTCCTTCTTCAATTGAACATTATGAAATTTGTGATTGAAATTGCTAGCAATGTGTCTGATACAGTACACGTGATAGACACGTGGAGGCCCCCAAAGATCAGGATTGTTCGCTACTGCTTGTTTTATGCTTATGTGACGGTCTGATATAAGACATATACCTTGCATATCAGTCACATGACGATGTAGCTTTCGAAGAAACCACGACCAATCACTAAGTGTCTCAGACTCTACAATAGCAAAAGCAAGCGGAAGCACCTGACTATTACCATCTTGTGTGGTTGCAATCAACATCGTCCCCTTATATTTTCCATACAGATGAGTGCCATCAATTTGTATCACAGGTTTACAAGATTTGAAGGCATCAGTGCATTGTTTGAATGTCCAAAAAACACGATGAAACATATCACGAGAGTCGTCTAGCTCACCACCGATAATGTATGGAAGTCGATCAATCCTGTAAAATGAACCTCGAGCAAACGATAACATGTACTTTAACCATCTTTCCAGATAAGCATATGAATCTTCCCAATCACCAAACAACTTAACTATGGCTTTTTGTTTGGCCGTCCAGGCTTTTCGATAGGACACTTTGTAACCATTAAGACCAGAAATTCTCTCCTGAATAAGTGCAATGCTAGTTGACGGATCCACCTGAACCATGCCTGATTAAAAAATGGTGGAACACAATTGTTATGCAGATATACATTATAATATTGTCAATGTTCAGCATTATTATCACATTTTTTTCGTCATCATACCTAGAATACATGAACAAATGAAGTCAGAATCGAGTTGTCTGTGATCCTGCGAAAGATAAGGGTTAACACAAGTGTGTTTGCCTCCCCATCTAGTAACAATCCATCGATCTCGCCATCTCGGTAACATTGCTCGCACCCTCCAAGGACATCCTTCAACATAATTAACACATTTCATGAGAAGCTTACTTTTTTTGCTTTCCTCCAACGCAGCAGTGCGGTAATTCTTCATACAATAACATTTGATTGCCTTCTGTACTGATTCCTTACTTTCAAATTCTTGATTAACATATAAATCATCCCCCATTTGCCAAGAACCATCATCCCCCCGTCAACAATCAGTTCTTGATCTGGGTGTTCCCAATTAATATAAGTATAGTGCGGACTCGCATTCCAGAATGGAGTATTAGTTTGACCTACACATTTCAACACTGGATCACATTCAAGTAACACATGTGTATAACATGTAAAATACAATAATCAGAAGGTTAATTAACTAACCAATTGGGATGACATTTTCGACATTATTGGTGTCCATATCACAATCAGAGGCACCACCCTCCTCAACAAGAACTTCTTCAACTATATCTTCATCAGAGTCACTACCCTCAGGAGGAACTTCTTCATATATATCTTCATCAGAGCCACCCAAATTAACATCCACGTAAGCTGCACCGTCCTCCTCTTCAACAACTGTATTCTGCCAATGATGTGATGCACCATCAGAAAGTGGCAAATTTATATCCAATGACTCAACCGGCAACGAAGAACTGCCTGCACAAGCAATGTCGGCATACAACTCAAGCATCGTCAATACAGACTGTTGTTGAAGAGACTGTTGTAGAAACAGATTGAACATCATCTCAATATCATCATCAGCAGCAATTTCTAGCACAGCAAATTTTTCTATTGTACGATATCGGCCGGTTAATCGAGACACCGATTGATTGGGACATAGCTTCAATTTCTCTGCAATCTTTGTTTTTAAATCATGCAATCTCAATCCGCATTGTATTTGTATTCCTTTGGTTTGCCCCTCAAATGTCCATCATGTAGCACCTTCATATATTCTACCATTGTAATATATGATTGCATAAACTGACCCCATATCTAGAAAGAAAACAGTAAAATATTAGGCAATAAGATGTTTTATGAAAATTGAAATGGGATAAATCAAATAATTTTTTCTAAATAACAATATTAAAATACTGAACATTATACATACATGCCTATGTTAGGATATCAAAATTTGTTTTATTGTGTCAAATATCTACATATAATTAATTAAACATGAACATCAAATTATTTTTTTTATGTAAAATGTCTATTAATTATACATACCAATGTTAGGATATCACAAAATAATTAATTTAGAAATAACACAACTATTACTAATAAAAAAAACCTAAATATTAATGTTATCAAAAAAAAAAACCTAAATATTAATAACAAATTAATTATTATTTAAACTATATAATTAAAAACCATAAACACAACTCATCAATGACTACTTTCCACCTCAAATTTTTAAATATAGTTAATTACACAGAACATAAAAATATATTTTATTATGTAAAATCTCTATATAATAATTATACGTGTCTATGTTAGGATATCACAAAAGAATTAATTTAAAATTATAACAACTATTACTAATTAAAACAAACCCTAAAGATTACCAAAAATAAAAAACCCTAACTATTATTAACAATTGATTATTCTAAAGTACATCATTTATAATACTAAACACTACCCATCAATGACTAATTACTATGTCAAATATGTAAATATAAATTAATTTACACATGAACATAAAAAATTACACATGAACATAAAAAATTAATTATTATTTAAAATCTCTATATATTGTTAATTATACATGTCTATGTTATTAGGATAACACAAAATAATAACTTTCATAAATTATAACAACTATTTCTACTTAGAAGAAACCCTAAATATTTACAAATCTATTATTTTAAATCATATTATTAACTCCTTTCATACTACTTTTCAATGAATAATTATTATGACAACTATATAAATATAATTCATTGCACATGCTTGTGTTACTAAAAAAAAGTGTATTAGATTATCAAAAAAAAAAAAACTAACATATTACATTATAAAAAAAAACTAACGTATTCTACATATTATGTCAAATATATAAAAATAAGTAAAAAAAAATAAATGATTTTAATAAATTAATAAAATGTTGTAAACTTACTTGCCTTAAGAGTTTTTTTTGGCTTTGGTCGAGCTTTACTCCTTCACTTTGATTACAACGTTGCAGTTGTCTGCAAATGGAAAAAAGAAAGGGTGAAGAGTGTGCCACAAATGGAGAAGGAGAGAGATTGAACAAAGTTCACAGATCTCAAATTTTGCTTAATATGAAAGCGTCGAACACAAGTCAATATTGGATATAGTGTGGGGCTCCTCGGACGGCTGGGGTTGTGCCACTTGGCATGCCGTCCGAGTTCCCCAAAGGGGGGTTAGCGACACTCAATATAGGTAATAATATAAATTATTTAAATTTAGTGCTGCGGGGACATGCGACACTTAAGAAATTACAAAAAAAAAATATAAACAATGCCAATGAGGGGTGGGGGCGGGACAGTTACCAGAAAAAAAAATTACAAAAGTGCCGCGGTGTATGGAGGCGTCATTCAAATACGCGAGGATACCCCCGCGGCACTTAATAACCCCAAGCGGTAATTTTTCCCATTGAGATACCAATTTCGTATATTTAATTGCAAATAGTACCAAACTGGTCAAACACCCAGCAAAGGTACGCAGTCTAGGGGGGAATAAATATTTGGTACTACTCTTGTACCAAAGATTCAGTGCATCCCACCAATGAAAATATTACATATCAGCTAAAATACTTTTTTTTCTGTTAAATTTCTCTCTCTCCTCTGATGTGTAAGGCTCTCATCATGAGATGCACTGAATCTAGGTACAACAGTAGTACCAAAGATTTATTCCCTAAAGCGACCCGCCCAATTTCAAACGGCCTCGGGAAATTCTACGATACCACGATGGTAAATGCGACCAGCCAATGGGAAAATGCCACCTCAGCTTTTTTTGGAGGTACTAAAGTGAGAGGAAAAAAATACTTTTGGTAATTTACACTATGTACTTCCGAGAGTACATACTGTAAATAACAAAAAAACTCACCTAGTTCAATACCACCTTTGTACCAAAAATGCGCTCCTAATTACAAAAAAAAAAAAAAAAAAATTTGCGCTCCTAATTAGGGGTGAAACTGGGCCGGGCCGGCCTACAGGGGCCCACGACTCGGCCTATATCAGGCCATACTTGACCTAGTATAATTTGTATAATAGGCCGAACTTGGGCCATAGAAAAGCCTGTTTAATAAAAAAAAGGTCGTAGGCCCACTTTCAAAAGGTTAGGCCTATAAGCCTACAGACCTGCCTATATTGTACTATTTATTTTAAATAAAATAAAATAGAATAAGTATGCCTTGAAGAAAAAACAAAAGATATAAATTTAATCAATTGCAATTATTTATAACTTAATTATATTCTATTATATTTTAATAGAAATCTTACTTTATTTCTTATATAGGAGGAATCAACATCTCAACATGTTTGATTGTGTATATGAATATATTAAAAGATTTTTGGGAAATGTTATACTTACTACAAGAATCATGATGTGTTTGTTGAATTCATATAGTTATTTTAATTTATATATTATTGTTGGATCTGATGAAATATATTTTATTTAGTTTGAGCATTTTGTTTTTGAAAATGAATTAAATGCATATTGTACGAGTTTTGTTATGATTCATGATTCTGTTTGGACGTTGAAATTATGATTTTTGGTGTAGCAACAGAATTTGAGTACTTTGTAAAGTTGATTCATGGTTCTGCATGGAAGTTAAAAATTAATAGGCTAACGGGCCAAGTCAGACCATTTATTTTTTTATAAACGGGCCAAGTCAAGCTAACAGTTAGACTCATACTAGGCTTGGGTCAAGCCAAATTGAAATTTTTTGACATAAGCTTGGACTTTTCGGGACAAAGCTTGACCCAGCCCAGCCCACTTTCACCACTAGTCCTAATGTATATTGAGATTTTTATTCCACTATTTTTAACTCTCAAAAAATAATAAAATCTATTCTAAATCACGACTTGATTTGATATGCACGACACAAAGAAATTTCAAATCACGACCGTTATTCTTACACGTACCCCACAAAAATCCCATCTGAGTCGTCAGATCCAAATTTCTACAACCAACATGTCTTACGTGGCAATTTAACTGCATTTAAAATCCGCATTTGAAGTCCGAACTATAAATTATCTTAAATAACTCCAAAATCACTTAGGGCTAGTTTTGATGGACTTTTTTTTCCTTTAAAAACTACTTTTTCTTTAGGAAAAAAAAGTACTTTTCACACTAAGATCGTTTGAATGTTTGCTTAAAAAAAAAATATAAGTCACAAAAAAATTTTGAAATCTAAAAATTTTAGTTTCTAAATAAATTGAAGTCAAAAGTTAAATATTTTTTTTCAAAAATTAAATATTTTTTTACAAAATCTAAATAATTTTAACTTTTATAAAACGTATTTCTAAAATAAATAAGAGATAAAAATGGATATTTTTAGAAAGTCAATCAAACGTACTCTTAGTTACTGTCAGTGGAGTGGAAGGAGAAGGGAAATATTTAATATGCTTCAGGACCATTTAATGATTCGGTGCTTTCTCTCGTAACACTAATTTTTTTTCTTCATATTTTACTCCTGTTATTTTTTTCTTTTTCAATTTTACCTTTTCATTTACACTAAAAGACTACTTAAAATATGGTGATTCCGGACTACAATAAATTCTCTAAAAAAGGAGAATGATACCCGCAAAGATTAACCTTTGCATCTGTGAGTTTCTACTTTTTGTTTTCTCCTTTACACAACGTTTTATGTTGAAAAGTTTGCATCTTTATATTTTCTGGAGTCAATTGTTGTGTGGGCTGGGGTGATTGAGGTGAGAAATTTTTATCGGCTGTGAATTGAAATAGAGAGAACAATAAATTAGTTACTTGCAAAAGTTACTGAAGTTACTATTTGCGCTTGCAGTCAGTGGCAACAGTGTAAGTCTGTCACTGGCCAACATAATAAGACTAGTGGGATTAGCTTTTTAGAACTATATATAGAGTTAGACTCCAACATAATATTGTAATGATTTAATAACATAGAAATTTAATTTAAAACCAAAATTTATTGAAGAATAAATTCTAAAAATATGAAAAACTGAAAATACGAAATTTTTTATCAAAAAATTTTTA